CTGGGATATTGCGAGCTCGTGCCATGGCGGTCCAGTGCTTCCGTAATCCAGTGCGTGATAACTAATCCTTTATTTGTGTCCGGTGATTCCTATTGCTTGTTTTGTATTCCGAATTCCGTGCGTACTACTACTACTGTTACAACCATTACAAGTACGCACGGAATTCGGAACACGAACCACGCAACAGGAACCACAGGACACGAATCAAGGATTAGCTATCACGCACTGGATTACGGAAGCACTGGACCGCCATGGCACGAGCTCGCAATATCCCAGGTGAACGAGACGCGAGGAAAAGGCCACAAGACTGGCAACTCGTAGTTCGTTTATTGAAAGAAATGAAGGTGATTAAATAATATATACAAAAGAAGGTCATTGGTTATCTAGGCTTCCATCAATCATATTGTAGTGTTGTTTGGATAATTCTGCTTCTGTCTGATTTTTCCCGGATTGGCTGGCACGATCCACTAATGGCGTGTAGTCAGAAGCCAAGACGCAAACGCGCGTCATTGACGTCATCTTTTAAATACGACTGATCGCAGGTGTCCAGAAAATGTAACGCGCCGCTCCAAGGTAGACGTCAGCATGTAGGTGTGGATCACAACAGTTTTTCACCAATCTGCTCATTCTTTCATTCTCTCCATTTTTTACATCTACTTTCCACCATTGCCGGGAAAGCTTTATCTTTCGAAGTAGCTTAGAACGTTAACATATACTGATAGATCGATGATTTGTTGACGTGTAGAGAAACTGCCGTTGTTTAGTGCACCTAACAGAGCCCGAATTTGTATTCTCTCCTTGTTATTCATGTGGCAAGAGGTCACACATCAAGACAATACTTCACTTTGACATACTGTGGTGGTGTGCATGCTCTCATTACCCTCCAAGCTATACAAGATGTCATCTCACAACCGCATGTCGAATCATACATGAACCGATAACCAATCGCAACAAAAACCGCCGATTACAGATGCCAACACTGAATTGCAAGCAATAACTGAAATTGGGCTTTTGAAAAAGAGCTGTCTAATCGTCGGCCAGATGAATAAATTAAACAATTCGAATGTCTGCAAGAATAATCATGAATTCAGGCAGTCAACTAAAGCATAAATGATGGATTAGGTGGACCTCTGCTATTCTTATTGGTCTGTTTCACATATAAAGGCAGAGTAGAATTACGTTTGGACTAGAAAAATTTAGTAGCCTTGATGGGATTCTAACCCATTCATAAATACCACTTAGTCTTTTTCACAATTTATGATCTACCAGTTGAGCTACGAGGCCACACGCCACAATAGTACTGACGTTTCCACACTTGGATCACCTGTCCAACTAACGGAATTTGGGAATCTTCTACGTAACATGTACACTGACTGTTTGGACAGCTTTCAGTTAGAATTTATTGAATAAACTTTGAAGCTCGCGGAATCCTGATTCCTAAGGACATCAGATATAACACTACCCTAACCCCCCACACTCCAGATTATAAATGTCCTGACAAATGACTGGAAGAAGTTGTGGGTGGCAAAATTTGAGGGTCAAGACAACTCGTAATAATCACAATCTTCTGCCTAACCATAATTACGGACTCACGAAATCCAGAGATAAACGCGATGATTAAAGATCCCGCTGGTACTCTGTTTCGTTTAAGCAACTCCGTGCCGGGAACGGCGCCACAGTTAAACTGGCCTTTATAGTTCTTGAATTTACCAAATTACACCTCAATTGGTCAAACATTAGTGTTGACATTTGTCGCTTTAAAGAAACAAAGAGCATTCGGGAGATAAGTTATTTCAAAAGGTACAGGGCCAGTGGGACTAGGCGGATTGTCCCTAATGATTTAAAAAGATGGGGGCTTAACCTTCTTTTCGGAGTTGCAGTATGACAAAGCGAATAAGCTCCAGTTGAATGACGTGAAACGGTCATGTCATCGAACCGCATGGGAACAGGTAGATCCTCTTGTGAAAAACGCAGAGAAATCAGTTTGGTTTACACCGTATCAAAGCTTCTGATTGGTGTCAAACTGCATTCATTAAACTCGGCGTGGGTGAGAGTAGATTAGTTTTAGACCCACCTGGTCACGGCTGCACTGGTCATATTTCACCGTTCAAATTTAAATGCTTGACTCCTTCCATAAAATAAACCACTTTTATCATTTTTGATCGAAAGCGGCATGTGATTCGGTTGACTATCTCTCTCTGCCTGAAGGCGGAGCAGGAGAAGTTTATTTCATCATTTCAATCCTTTATTAGGAACAGACGAAGCCGTGTTCTTCGTCTTCGTCCGAATTTCACCCAATCTGACCTCGGAAAGCGGTGCTTATTAGGGTTAATCGCTGTTGTTTTTCTTCATGTGTGTAAAGGATGCTATTCTTGAAACAGCTATCTTCTCCAATTAAGGTATAACGACATTTTACTGCTGAGTGAAAATTCAGGCAAGTTGCCAGCTTCCTTAAATGGTTTCAGCGTAAGTCTGTTTGTGTCTGTTCGGCATGCGCTTTGCACTTTCAAAGTGTTAAAAGCTGTGACGAGATGGAGTTGTTTTGGCTCCTTACTCTAACCGAAGAGACAAGACAGAATGTGGACACATTTTGATACTCAGGTAGCTGTCTTGTCTGATGGAAGAATCATGGATGAAGTAAGCATACACAAGGCTTGAGCGACACTTATCATCTTGAGGCTGTGCAATTTTCGGATGTCCATGATTGGCTGAATGTATGTAGCAGCTGTTTGATCGGTTTTACTGAATCGTGCAGAGAAATGGTAAGCACGTTATCTGAACGCCATTGTCCACACCGCATTGAACGATTGTAGGGGCAATGCAGGATCTAACAGAATTAACCACTTATCCGTATCACTAACCACGGCAATCCAGTGATTATTGTCATCATAAATGAACAAATTTGTCAGCAATGAGAGTTGCCTAATTCTCCTGCATCATTTAATGAGATTTAGTAGCAATTGTTGACTAAATGTCTCCGGTGATGCCTTGAAAGTTTAATCGATAACTTGTTTTTAGTATTCGGTATTGGCGAGATGAGTGAGGATTCTGAGAAGCGAGGTAAGCATACATACTACATTGATGAAACTTTGGTTGCACAAAACTGTTCACGTAATGTTGACAATAATGTAATCTTCCGAGGGGCATTTTGATCCAACTAGTTCCCACGGTATCTGTCAGTTCACTTGCATTGATGGTATTACATACATACATGGACGGAACGGACCGATGCCACAAGCGCATGCGCACGCAACCCTGGTGCACAAAAGCGATGATGCATCGCAGATAAAAGCGCAAATCCGTCCTCGTCAATTGCCAAACATTTTGTACAGCAGATTCGCAAACTGATCTGAACTTTGAAAGTCTTCCATGACCATAATCACTCGGTACATCGGTCCACCATTTCCAATTGACAGAACTGAACTTGCTTTTCCAGTTTCATCGAACTGGTCTTGAATATTGTCCAATACTGTCAAATAATGCGAATCCCGCTCCAGCGCAACTACTCACTTATACACACAAGCCGATCATTCCTTCTAGAATTGCAATCAGACAAAATCAAGCCTCCTGATTTTCCTCAAATCTAATCTTTATTCACATTCGGTTGATGTCAGGAAACCACTAGAAGTTTTCGACTTTTTCTGATTGCGGAGTGAGGAGGCTGCAGCGAAAAATAATTCGACATCTGTCCCCGATATGCCTAGTGTGAAACACGATGTAGAGCAATCAAAGGGGGCCTCATCGGGAATGCTCTAACACATAAAGATTGGCCTCTGTTCTAACCGCGGTTCTAGATGCCCGTTCGGAGCAACAGTAGTTTATAAGGTAGCAGTGGAGTATTTGGTTCAACTATGAGAGATGAGATGAGACAAGTCAACCAGGTCGAACCAGCTGCATAGTGCTTCCTGGCTTTTCGGTTCACGTTTCATTTGTTCCAAACAAGACGAATTCCATAATAGTCGTTCCGTGGTTGAAAACTAGCTCACGTTCCTTGCAGCACAACCAGCTGTTCAACTAAAACTGAACCATCAGTATTTTGCAATCACTACACATTCATTTCGTTTTTGTACCCTTGTCAATTGGACCACCATCCTTGCACCTGTCGTTTGTGGCTGAAACATTGTTGCATCAGATCTCGATTTGTTCTCAACGCCAGTGATGCCGATGCATCACCTACTCGGGAAGCGCCTTTTGCGGACGGTCGGTCATCCAACGAATCTGTCTTTGCCGCTGTACATACAGATCAGTTTTCCAACGTTCGTCCTAGTGTACGTTTTGAATCATAAAAGGCATGTGTAAATGAAGGTCAAACTTCAACTGTTTGCACACCAGAAAAATTTGAATGATGGCTGACTGAATATTCTTCAATGAAATTGGGTTGGTTGATTATGTCTGGTTCTACTCCAGAAACCATGAGCACAGTTTTAGTTAATTAGGTAGATTTGTGCATGAAACCCTCTGATCGAATGCGGATCTGAGATTTTTGGGAACCTACAGTGGTGTATTCATGGTTTGCTGGGGAAAATGACAGTGCTCGCGTTTGGCCACATCTGTATTCTTTCTGTGCCCCACCATAAGATGTACCAAAGTCAAACGCACCTGACATAGAGGATGACACCGACGGACCACATGTCGATGCCTCTATTGTATCCTCGATGTTTGAGAACCTCCGGAGCTGCGCAAGCGAGGGGAGCAAAAGTGACAAAACAAATTAAAGGGATCACTGAAAAAGACGAATGTGACAAATTTTCATCTCACAGTCAACTATTTGGTTGANGATGATAACAACAAGGATGATTTCACTTTCCACATACTCCTCAGTCCATCCAGTCAATCATTCACTTGGAAAGTGCTAGACTCGAGTTTCGCTCTCCTTAAGGTTCATCAATAGTGCGTAACCATCCACTATTTCGGGGTTAGGCTTACAAACCCACCGTATAGAATACGTGTATCTTACCACGGCGCCAACCAGCTCACAATGAGATTTACTAGAATTGGCGATTCATGTTGGTTCGGATGTCATATTCATTGATGCTCAGTCAGTTATTTGCGGGAGCAAATACTCGAGTCTAATGCCTCCCGAGTATATGGTTGACTGGATGAACTGAGGATTGTGTGTGAAGATGAAGTCCAGAAGCATGTTCAATGTACATCCGTATAGCTTAACCCGTACCACTACTCACATGTAACTGTGGGTTCAAGGCGGATTTAACTTTGGTTCATTTGATTTAAACTAAATTCACACTCAAAAATCAAAGGGCTTGTGGCCAGTTGAGAGCTATCATTGCGATTGAATACATGGAGAAGAAGTACTAGTTTTAGTAACCGCACAATATCGATGTGCGGTCCGCCGTCACAGTAGATGATTTTTTTGTGTGAAATTGTTCAGCAGTTTCCGGAAAGTCTTGCACTTTAGAACAAAGAGCGAACTAGGTAGATTGGGATTAGTACTGTCCAGTCCTAGTAGGGCAACAGCCATAATCAAATCACTGAACAACAGACCACTGAGGCTGAATGCATCAATATTGAAATGTTTTGTATTTACTTAACGTCTCGATTGACATGCGATTCATTCCCAGGTATAATCACCGAGGTGTTTTTTTCTCTTTTCAGACAAGGGAACTCAGTCAGCTCCAAATCACGCAGAGCATTAGTTTCAAATTTGTTACTTTTCCTCTTGCATTTAACTGATACTGCCGTGTTTTTCGAATGCCTGAGAAAAGATTAGTTTTATGGTGTTTCCTGTGTGTTAGCAGCCCCGGTTCTTTACCGTAAATTCACAATTTGCATTTAAAACTTACCGATTGATAAATATTTGCCTCTATTTAGTTTTTCTACAAAGTTATCGGTTATCCTTCACGTTCCTTGTGTAATAATCTGGATCTCTGTCGTTAACATTAATTTTTATTTCGACATTTTCCACCTCCAATGAAGAACTGCTACGAATTATCCCGCCCCGTATCTGACACGCATAAAACAAGACAAAGGGAGGGAGAGGGAATTGCCAAGGCATTGCCTTTGACACATAACAAGGGATGTGTTTACCCACTCCCTTATCCAATATCATCCCAATGTAATGAGTGTAGTAGCAGTAGTAGTAATAGGCACGGAATTCGGAACACCAACCACGCAATAGGAATCACAGGACCCGAATCGATAATCGGCTATCACGACTGGATCGCAGAAGCCATGTCCCACGAGAACGAGACGCGAGGAAAAGGCCAGAGGACAGGCAGCAAGTAGTTCGTGTATTGGAAGAAATGAAGGTGATTAAATAATATGTACAAAAGAAGATTATTGGCTACCAGGGCTTCCACCAATTGGATTGCAGCACTGCTTGCACAATCTTCCTTCTGTCTGCATTGTCTTGGATTGGGTGACACCATCCGCCAATGACGTGTATTCAGAAGCTATGCACGTGCTATTGACGTCAACATTCAAACTTGATCGATCGCCAATGTCCTGAAACTGTTGCGCGCCGCTCCAGGGTAGGCGCCATCGTGTAGGCCTGGATCACCACCCAACTCTAACGGTGCATGCATGAATACACACCCAGCTTTACAGCTGAGAAAGAAGGTGTAAACTCGGTGATACTGTTAATGCGGTGGTGCAGTCGCTGTCACTGACATGCTTTTGACCCTGTGATTTGAGGTTCGAACCCCGCCACCGCCACTCAACTTTGGTGCAGGTATCTTTTTGTCGTGCAACTTAATCTCAAAGGGATCTTATGTTTGTTGTTCGCCACTTCAAGTCCTAGGATTTAGGGGTGCCGGTTTCCATCATNTCCATCATTGAACACCAGGTCTTCGAAAACACGGAGTCCACTCCATTTACTGTTCATCATACACATGTGGGTAAAAACATTAAGAATACAGCTCCAAAGTGGCGGTATAAGGAGACATCACGAACTATTTGAGTAGCGTGGGAACTTCTTTGAAGGATACTAATGGCTAACTGGACTGTTCACTACTAAACTTGGCGCTCATCTAAAGTGGAAATAGATATTCGCTTTTGGGACCATTATCCTTATTTACCTATGAAGTGGTTTAAATAATTCAGATATTCATTATTAGGTGCAGTGAAAAATATTACCATAGTTTTTTCCGAAGTGATCCCATCGCTACCAATCGCGTTAGCTCCAAAGTTCAGGATGCGAACGAGTAACCTTTTCTCTGTTTAATAGATTTTTATCGATTGGACTGTAAGTACTGTCCAGATCATAGCTATTCACGGTACACAAGATAGTCAAACTGTTCCATAGGACGGGCCAAGCTGCACGAATTTCGGATGAATGTGCCACTTGGGTTTCTCAAGTAAACCGCGGATCTGGGTCGAATTTATCCCATTCATTTAGCCGGCGTTCATAGTCCTTGTTTCGATTTACAAAAATGAATTGGGTATGAACATTTTCATGGGTAGGGGTAAAGCCTGACTGATCGTAAAGATTGAAGTAACTTTATGGTGCAAAAACTGCCCGTCTAAACAAGTTAATGCTTTGCGCTTTCATCTAGATATGCAATGGGAAATTCTCTTTAACTGGGTTTCAATTTCAGCTTGTCAAATGTTTCCAGAAATGTGTTTTGGAATTGGTGCTGTTTTGAGAAGATGAACAGGTTAATCTGTAATTTTACTGTGTGTAAATACAAAATTCGATTGTTCATTCAGTTTAGTTCTATGAATTTGATGGCCACTGTTTACCTCCCTGTCCTATGCCACCGATGAAGGAGAAAAAGATTTTCGAATAGTTCAACCCTGAGGAGAGTTACAAAGGAAGTATAACCATCAACATTTTGCCTGATTTGGAAATGTATATAGGTAAGAATACCATTGACTCATTAGTGCTCTTATTTGAGATAATGCACATGTTGCTGTCGAAGGGTTTCCCCTGCTGGAACTGTTTGTTCTCAAAGAACCCTCCAACTCCAACATTTGCTTTCTGCGCCACAATGACTCCACATCATATTCATATTCATACTACACAAACCATACCACCAAAAAATCACATTCTTTCACGCAATCCAAACACACTACTCGTCATCATAACAGTCACACCATGGGACGACAACTAAAAAGGCACCCATAAATTTTGATGGACGGTTGGCAAACAACAGACGTAGGACCTATGATGATAAAATAAAAGTTTTTCATTTGTACACGAAGGGAATCGCACCTGATGCGGCGCTGGAAGAAAGGCAGTCCAAGTCTTTGTGAAAAGGAGACAGCAACGCAGCCAAAGAAATCAAGGAACGCCATTCAGACAAAAAGTTTTGCATTCCTTTATTGGTTGCCTCAAAAATGTTGACAGCGCCTATCTCTGCATGCCAGATGCACCAACTGGCAACGGGATTTTTATTACAATGGGGGTTGCTTGTAAAATGTAGGAACAGCTGATTTCACAAAATTAGATAATACCATAATATAAGCAAAGAAAACAACTAAAGGACTCAATTATTTCAAGTGGACAAGTCAAATTCATTGAAAATTTCCATTGTGACATTAAGAAAACACTGTAGGTAACAATGCTTGTTTTCGTCAACTTTTTCCTCGGAATAATACAGTTATAAATGGGGTACAAAATTGTCAACTTAGTGTAATGACCTAATGTGATGCCCATGATTGGTTTATTGTGTTGTGTGTGTTCGCCTGATCCAGGGTGGCAGGCCGGAAATGGAACAGCTCACTCACTCTATCAACTACGAACATTTCCAAACCATGCAACAAAAACAAAAAAATGTTGTCCCTTCATTTTCCTACACATATATCACAACATCACAAACAGCCAATCATATGCATCGCATCCGACCATTGCGCTTTTGAACTCTCTCTTTATATATATATATATATATATATATATATATATATATATAATGTGTCAGCCCGAGGAAAAAGTCATCGAAAACAAGTTTTTGTTCGCTAAAGTGTTTTCTTAACTGTCAGATTATCTAGAACGCCTCCTTAAGTTGTTGCGTACGTTCATTTGGGAACAGCTCCAATAAATGCCTAATCCTGAAATTCGATCTTTGCAGTGACGTTGATATGATGTTAAAGTGAAGAGTAACCGTTAGATCACGTGCACAATGAGAAACGCCTACCATTACCCACTGGTACAAATTCAAAGGTCCGCAGTCCTTTGAACATGCAAAACCAGTACTGTTGATTTTCACGGTAACGGACGAACATGGACGACCTACCAGGGGTCTGATTGATACGTGGACTTGAAAAAATCAATAACCACATACTTCTGCGTGATCAACCAATTCAACTCTTCGGGTCAACTAGTACATACGACGACTAAACGATGTGTCACGGCTGAAAATAATTCAGCTTTTGGAGGCAGCCGAAAATTTGCTCGAGATTCCGGGGTGGAACTAGTAGGCAAAATGGAAGCTAGCTCTGAGACAAACATAAAGTGGAGAAAAAAATTGGCAGAAATTCTAGCTACTAAAATTAATAACTAACAAAGTTTGCTGCGGATCTTCCGTAAAATGTGCCGGACATCGTCAGTATCACAAGAAAAAATGGGAAAGCAGGTAGGAGTTTTGTTGATCTTTCTTTGTGCCTCAACTATGCACTGTGCCTCTTCTAGAGCAGAGACTTCCGCGGAATAAATAAATTTGGTTAGTAATGGTCTCGCTTGCTCTAAGAGAGTCCAATATAGGTATAAATTTTTACATA